ATTGGTATTTGCTTGGTCATGCAGCACTGTGTGAAAAAAATATATATAAATTTCATATGTGTACAAATGGCTTTCTTTTGGTTGTAATTTGATCACCACTGTTTTTTTTGTTTTTTTTTTTTTTAATGTGTATTGTATAAATGAAAAAAACCCAAACATTTTGAAAACTTTTTTTTTTTCTCTCTCTCTTTTCTGTTATAAAACATCTCTAATAAAAAAAGAAATTTCTTCATACATTTAGACCAAAATGCATTCTGCTACATGTGTTTAGTAAAAATTAAAACAAAAAACAAAAAAAAAACCAAACAAAAAGTGTATATTGGTTTTGTGTAAAAGTTAGTCTACAAACTATGGTGTATATATACTTGATCAGTCCTGATGTACTGACAGCCTATCTCCTTTCGTGAGGCCCTAAAATGCCAGGACAGTGCAAAAAATTGTAAGTCTTTGTCACAATTTGTTGGAAAATTAAACATTTTATTTTCATACTGTCACCAATACAGTACAGTGTAATAATATGACTGGTGTGTCTGTGATCAGGAACACTGACTGGTGACAGTATGTATGTGTAAAAAGAGAAAAAAAAATTAAAAAAAAATTTTTTAAACCCTTTTTTTGCTTTTACATCCTGTCATCACTGTGTCACTATGGCGAGCTACTCTACTACTTTGGGGTGGGGGAGAGGGGGGTTATACTGTGAGGATATTGAAGCAATAGTTTTGAGTTTCCCATTCGTGAACAGCTTGTTTATGGTTGTAATCTGTGATTGGCTCCAGCATATCGCGTAGTACGGGTAGCCAGGTACCATGTGATTGCTGTGGGCCAATCGTGGATTATTATTATACAGGATTTATGTAGCGCCAACAGTTTGCTCAGCACTTTACAAAATAAAGGGAGACAATACAGCAACATTCTAGTTCCATACAAGAGGGTAAGGAGGGCCCTGCTCCTTGGACAACAGTTAGCAAGCCATTCATGACAGGTTGTGTACATTATCATGTGATCACCATGACCAATCATAGTGATCATTCGATACCTGGTTCCAGTAACAGTAGTCCATAGGAGGGGCTCACCTGTCCCGGACTGGGATAGCTCGTGTGTGTGTGTGTGTGTGTGTGTGTGTGTGTGTGTGTGTGTGTGTGTGTGTGTGTGTGTGTGTGTGTGTGTGTGTGTGTGTGTGTGTACCTGCTGCAGTAAATGTACTGTGGTGGTGCAGCAAGTGTTTAGACACTTAAGCACCAGAAAAATTTTACCCCCCTTATGACCAGGCCACTTTTTTTGCTATACCGCATTGCACTATTTTAACTGGTAATTGCACGGTCATTCCCAAACTAAATTTATATACTGTAAAAAAAAATTTCCACATAAATAGAGCTTTCTTTTGGGGGTATTTGATCACCACTGGGTTTTTTATATTTTTGCGATATAAAAAGACCAAAAATGTTGATAAAAGCACAATATTTTTTACTTTCTGCTATCCAATAAACATATCCAATAAAATCAAATTTCTTTATAAATGTTGGCCAAAATGTATTCTCTACATACACGAACTACTACTGACGTCACCAGTGACAGTAATACAGTGATAAGTGATAATACTATACACTGGCTGGGGAAGGGTTAACCCCTAGGGCGATCAGGGGTTAAATGTGTGCCTAACTAGGTATAATGTGTGTAAAGTGCTACTTTTACTACGAGATCCCTGTGTACAGAGCTCTGTGTTGAATGTCAATGCAGAGCTCTGGGCTGTGTTCCTACACAGCCAATCAGCAGGTCCTGGCCCTGAATCATTGGCTGAGACTTGCTGACATACACCCGTTGTGTACAATCACAGCAAACGCTAGCGGGAAGGGGGGGGGGGTACCACACTCGAAACCCAGAGGTAGGCAGCAATGTACCCATACGCCTCTTTGCCGACAACGGCCGCCTGCCTGTAGTACTTTGCGGGCAGTCATTAAGAGGTTAACATGGGTGTCACTAAGAAACATGTGGCAGCATATGTGTTAACTAAGAAATTCAGTCCTCTTAATGCTTCACCCCCACTTTCATCATCCTCTTTGAACGTTCAGCACATGCAGAGATGTGCTAAAGGGTTCTGACCAGCCTTTAGGACCTGGTACAGCCCTGCTGCACACCTGTGCACGTTCCGAGTTTCACATGTAGAGGTCCGTCTTTGCACATGCACGCAGAAAAACCTGGATGTACTGGAGGTCTATTCTGTGTCCCGAAGGCTGGCCAGAGCCCTTCTGCACATGCGTGGAATTGAGAGCAAGTCATTCTCACATAGGCAAGAAAGGAGAGGTAAAAAAGCACTTGAAAAGGCAAAAAAAAAAACTGCAATCTGTTCCCATTGGGGAGATTTCCTTTTACTTCCTGTCCTATTGCCACAACAGGAAGTAAGTGGACATCTCTCCAAAGTGAGGGAATCCCTGGTTGTCACCAGAACTAGATTCTCCATTGGAAGATTTCCCGCTATTCCTATTGTGGTGATCCAAAATTTGGGATTTTTTTTTTTTTTTTTCAGTCTTGATGATGAACAGTAAGCATAGAGAGGGTGAATCTTCCTAAAGGAACACGGATGGCAAGAACAACATGACAGAGGTTCTAATCCCTCTTCGCTCTATCCACAATTGAAATAAAAGTTTATATATAATTGTGAGACCTTGTTTGTGTCTTCTCTTTGGCCTCTTTCATATGGTTGTCAGACTTCACTGTCCTCTTCTGTAGGTGATATGTGGTGGATCACTTTTCATATCGCAGCTGACAGCTGGTTTACAGGTGTTCAGAAGGTGATACTGTCATCCTCCATCCTCAGAGGGATGGTATTTTACATTGCAATAACACGCTGCAGCTGTCATAGCCACATTTGGCATGTAGTTGCTTCACAGTTCCAATGACTTCATTGGTGCTACCGGTCAAACTCGACATGGTGAGTTAAAATGTCAGCGACAGTATGAACTCACTCCTGTGGCCACCATTTTGAATTTGGAGGTGGGCAGGATAAACATGGATTAACCTTCTGTATTTGGATGTAAATACCCTCAAATTAAAGCTGACAGTCTGCAGTTAAAGCACATCTTGTTTGTTTCATTTCAAATCCCCATTGTGGTGGTGTATAGAGCCAAAAATGTTAGAATTGTGTCCATGTCCCAATATTTATGGACCTGACTATATATGTGTGTGTGTGTGTGTATATATATATATATATATATATATATATATGTATATATATATATATATATATATATATATATATATAATAAATAATCAGGGTGGATTTGATTTAAATCAAACTGATTTAAATCTTGATTTAAATCACTAGTCAGTAAGGCTTGATTTAAATCCTAGTTTTCTACATAAAGACTAATTCTTGCTGGTATAACTTAATATGCAAGTAGATGAAGATTTTTTAGAATAACAACTTTTCATATTAGTTTTTTTATCCCCAGTTTAATAGGTTAATCATTCATATTTGGACAACTTTTCTGTTGTACTTAGGAAGGAGAAAAATAATCATTACCTTAATAATAACAATTTAAATAGATTTATTCAACTGAAACAATAACATTCCAGCATATGTTATTTCTTAAACAAACATCCATGTTTGTTAACTAATTTGGCTAAACAAAATATATATATTTTAAGAAACTTAGACTGTCAGCCCCTTCCTCCTCACGCTTAGCTTCACTTTCTTCTTGTGCAGATCTATTCCACTCCAAACAATCAGAAAAATATTGTTTCTATTCTATTCACTGAACTTCTTGAAACTTAGCACTGAAGGGGTTGATTCTGTATTCATAGGTTTGTAGAAGTTAGGATTAAGGTCTTTTTCTTAACTCTGTTCATGTTATAACATTTTTGCTGTGAAGAAGAGGCATGTGATCTCCGCTGAGTCAAATTCAGTTTTGAGAACTGCAAAAGTAAACCAAGCATCTGTGATAATATCTTGTAGGCAGAGAAACTGCCCAATAATCTTACAAAAACCTCTGGAAGAGCATGACATTGTGAATGGATTCATGGAATTTATTTACCAAAAAAATTAAACCTATACAGCCTTATTCTACATAATTAAAAAACTAATCTTTATTTCATGATGGAATAACCTTTGGATGGTAATATATTTTCCTCAAAAAGCATTTTATTTAAAAAAAAATCCGATTTAAATAAAAAAAATCAGATTTTAAATAAAAAAAAATCATTGATTTTGTATCCACCCTGATTGATAGATAGATATATATTTCTGTGCTTGTGCCATTCTATTATGACCTACAGCTTAATATGAATCCCATTAGAAATAAAAGAAATGTGTTTTGCCAGCTCACTCATGTTTTCTTTAGAAATGGTACGTACTGTTCCCACTTCATAGTGAAGCCATGCTTTTATCACACATGGCAGAGCAGCAAGTGTACATTTATTACCTTTTTCCCCATTTGCACATACTCGCCTTCTCTACCCTGATACCTAAATTACTCTTTGCAGATGAAAAAAAGGAAGCCCTGTACAAAGTCTGCATTGATCTAGGTTGGGTTACAGTGATACTAAAGGCTCATTATTTATTTTTTTAACGACAAACTTATTACCTGCTCAGTGCAATGCAAAGAGCAGCCCTGATACTCTTCTCAGGTCCCCTGTCAATGCTCATGGGTTTCTGAGCCAATGAGGAGGCAGAGAGTCTGGAACAGCAGGCGCTCTTTTGCATATCACTGAATCAGGCTCAGATAAGTATTAGAGGGGCTGGGGGGATAGCTGCCTAGGTGGTTTTTTTTTTGTTTGTTTTTTTTTTTGTTTTTTTTTTTAAACTTCATGCATTAATGCTTGAAGGTGAAAGACCTTCATCCTTTACAACCACTTTAATTTGTGCTCCTTGCCTCTAATTTTACACATGCTGCTGGTGTTGGAAGCAGGAGTACCTGTCATGTAAATAATCCATTTGCTGCATTTCTGGTGTGTGTGTTTACTGTAGGTCAGAATGATCTTCTTCTTTTTTTTTTTTATGTTGTAGGTGTTAAAATGGAGAGTGGCAACCAGTTTTGCTTGGTCCGTCATATTACTACCTCTGAGCAGTGCAGCTTTCATGGTTCTCAGCAGGCTCAACATCTTTCACCCTATACTGTGGCTCACAGGTAAGTGTTTCGGGGGTAGAATGTTACTCACGACCTATCATGTAGGAAAATGCAGAGATCCTGGGGTGTGACACCCCCCCCCCCCCCCAAATCTGCCTGCTAAATGTAGCATCTTGTCACTTCCCATGGCCCCACTGCACTCTGCTAGAAGATAGGAAATGGCGCCTTTCCCCCCTCCACCTACTTGGGAAGGCAATGTATAACTGGGATTTCAGATCTAACAAAAAAAAACACAGGAGTAGCCAGTGCATTTTGGGGTCTCAGTGGTCCTGTCATCAGGGCTTATGGTGATAGAAGTGCTTTCACAAAAATTGTTCCAGGGTTGGTGGCTTTAAGAAAATTGCTAATCGTCCATGTACATGCTTGCTCAGGTAGCCAGTCAGACAGCCTAGGTCTTTCCACTTGTCACAGCTATTATAAAGAATTTCGCCTCTCATACTTTATATGTAGAAGAAAATGCAGAATTGGGTACAGGCCCAGGGGCTGTTGAGGATGTTTGAGGCCTGCAAGGGATTTCAGTGATGGTGAGCTGGAGAACAAGAAGTGATGTGACTTTGCATGTCTCTTGAACAAGTCAAAGCACTGTAGATTGCGACTGTTCCGTTTCCAGGGCCAGTGCTTGATGTAAGACAAACCTGTCACTATGTATGTTGCTAGACAGTTGCACATGGCCCTCATTGTATGGTTTTGACAGCCTCCAAGATAGGTTGTGTTTCATTAGGTGAGAATGTATGTGACACGTTCCTTTTCGATAAAGTGATTGTGTCATAAATCGTTTATTGTTATTTCATTTGCTTTTCTACAGATTTAATAGGTGATGCTTCCAGCAGTTCCATATTCTTTTGTCTGCTTTTACTGTCGGTGCTACAGGGGGTCCAATGTGCCTTCAATGTGAAGTTTTACTCAGGTGAGCTTTAATAGATTTAAAAAGAACTGGGCAACTGCAGAAAATCTGGATTTAAAGCCAATGACCTTTTGAAATGAGACCAGTCTGGATGACACATTTTAATTACCTCTATGCCAGATGGGCAAATCCTAAATGCTATCCGATGACCAGGAAATTTCTATACAGTTAAAGGAGAAGTACAGCTAAAGCTCTTTTGGCTGTATTTCTCCTGTGGATCCCAAATTTAAAGTTGGGATCTTTCCGCAGCCTGTAGCTGAATGACGTGTGGGCTTCAGCTGAAAACGGGTCACAGGAGTGCAGAACAAACTACACTCCTGTGACCCGTTTTCAGCTGAAGCCCACTGTTGGCTGACGTCATTCAGCTGATTCAGGCTGCGGAAAGATCCCAACTTTAAATTTGGGATCCGCCCCAGAATCTAGAGCAGCTTTAGGTGCAGAGCAGATAGCGGTGACTGACAGTCACCGCTTTCTGCTCCGAGCAGCTGTGAGAACTCAGCGGCCATCTGATCACTGAGTTCTCCCACTTAGAGCCAGTGGGGGACAGATGCAGAATCGGACCAATGCTGCATCCACCTAGGTAAGTATAGTTTCGTGAACAAAACAAACCCCATGCTTCTCTTTTAACCCTTTTTCAGTGGGAGTTTTCATAATTTACTTGCAACCCTTCAGAATGCAGCTATCATTTTATTTCTAAGGCAGGTAAAAATTGAGGAATAATGTCTGATTCCTTTTGGGCAACAGCCTCAAGCCTCTAAAGAGGTGTTCTGGCCAATTCACGGTTATTCATTTTGAAGCGTAAAGTGAATCTAGGGCTGCACCAATACATTCCGTTCCTTGTAGAACAATCCCCCACGGCAAATGTACCAATCATCCTATCCCGTTGATTTCTGATAACAAACAAAAAACTTGCGACTTCATAACACTTGATAACCAAAGCAAGACACATGCTGGAACCTTTTATACACACTAAATACCTGGCTCAAGATGTAGTAAAATCTTTCTTTGACTATTGACATGTATTGATATTTATAATTCCTTTTTTTTTTTTTTTTTATATCTGGACAACGCTGTTTACCTGCAAACCGTGTAATTTTGTATTTTACGCTTCATGGAATATTTAAACAATATATTGTGGAAGCCGTTTCCTATAGTGGCACACATGCGGACTCGTTCCCGAGCATCTCTTTCTATGCCTATTGACAGACAACGGGGCTTAGCTCTGTCCGAATGGGGTTGGGAGAATCCCTTTGCAACAGAAGGTTTTTGTACCTTAATGCATAGAATGCATTAAGGTAAAAAAAAAAAACATAACCTTAAGGGCCCTTTCACACGGGCATTCCGTTTTTTTTTTTTTTTTGTTCATCAGTTCAGTCACGTTTTTTAAAAAAAAAAAAAAATGGATCAGATTACATCAGTTTTTTTCATCCGTTTACATCCAGGTCTTTTTGTCCCGTTTTTTTTTTTACGGAAGAAAAATAAGGTTTTCTTCTGTTTAAAAAAATTGTATGTGGACATTAACAGATGTAAACAGATGATCATCTAGTCCATAGAAATACATAGGTGTCCGGTTTTCATCCGTAAACACAGATAAAAAACTGACATACGGAACGCCGTGTGAAAGAGTCCTAAGGCTTTAGCACCTCTGTAATATTTTTAACTGATGTGTCAGTATAGGAACACTTCATCGGCTGGTTGTTGCAGCCTTTTTTTTTTTTTTTTTTTTGTTCTTTTTGAATTATCCTTTTAAGATGGGTCATATCAAAGCCCTTTTAGTAGTATATATCAAAGGCTGGTGCTTGACATTTGCTGCACAATATACACAGTTTACAAATACATACAAATTGCGCCTGTCTTCATTTACAGTGGTGCCTACCATTCCTGGCTCCCGCCTCTCCTTGATTGGCCAGATCCTGCTGCCGCAACATTTGCTTCACTCATTTGTTCATTCTCTTATGGGAGTGTTGGTGTTTTGGTGCTGCACTGTCCTCAGCCGAGGGCCATACCAAAGTCTGGCTGTTCCATGCAATACTGATCCCAGGTGAGTTAGTCTGGAACAAATCCCTGTAATCATGCACATAGTGAGACGTGCCTGGATTTGGTTGCTACTTCTGTGTTTTTGCTGATCTGTCGTGTACCTGTGCTTTTCTTTTTAGTGATAAAGATGATGTACAGAAGATGTGTCTGAATGAGCGTTACCTCTTCCTTCTGCTTACTGGAGCTTTTCTGGGTTACAGTTACAGCCTGCTGTATTTCATACACAACATGAACTACCTGTCGTTCCCTGTCATGCAGGTGAGATGAAGCAGAATACGTATGGGCAGTCAAAGGGGCCTATGCAGCTCACCAGTGGAGACACCCTGCTGCATCTGCCAATTCAGGGAGTTTATGTACAGTAGATGGAGGCAACAATCTGGACTAATGAAGTTACTTGGTTGTCTTTTCCTATTATTGGTATTGGAGGGGCTTTAGAAATGTTTGTATCATAATTTTAGTCCTACTTTTTTGTTTCCCCATTTGCATGTTCTAGATTTTCTTTTTGTAGTATTTGTCACATTAATAATTGTTTTATGTATATAATTTGTATGTTTTTCTCTCCTTTTTTGAAGCAATTTAAATATGTTCAGTTCAGGCGGTTCCTGCCTGTACTTCTGCACCACAGCTGTGTCCAGTCCCTGTACTTGATCCGGAATTGTACTGCTCTCTATTTTTTCCTGGGTATGTTTTATTGTCTCTTAACCTGGTTTGGTGTGGCTGCCCAGCCAAAAAAATATATGTTTGTGTTAGAGTTGTATATGTGTTTTGGACTGTGAAGTTAAAACTGAACTCCAGGTAAACCATTAAATGCACTGACTAGGTACATATTTACATACATATATTGTAGCTGTCTTACCTGCAAATAATTAGTATTTTTATCTGTCCAGTACTGAGATTTTATGCAACTCCATCACACTACCAAGCTCTGTCTGGCAAGGCTGAAGACCTGATTTTTTTTTTTTAACACTTAAAGGTCTTGGTCCCTCAGCCTGTGACTGAACATTGAAGGGAGAAGCTGCAGACTGATGAGCTTATATCTGTCTCTTTGCTCTCTCCCCTTATCAGCATGATCCTTGTGCTGCAGCACAACCAATTGGCACCCTGTGCTTTTTTGCTATCTCTATTAGTCTAAGCTCTGCTATACAGGGACTGCAGGAGCCTGATACCAAGTCAAATTCAGGCACACTGTTTGCATTCAACTATAAATTTAAAGGATAAGTTCACCTTTTGCACAAAAATAATAAATGCACATTTTTTTTTGCAGGTAAAAAAATGTGCATTTATTATTTTTGGCTGCAGGAGCCTGTAAAGCATTGCACCAGCAATCAGAAGATTGCTGGTGCCATGCAGGTCTACTGCACACCTGCCAGTATATCTGCTTGCCTGTAGCAAGCAGATATGCTGACAGGAATACTCGATGAACTACCATGGCACTCCACAGAACACTATGAATAAATGACACGGCCTTGTGGTTGCACTGTTTTTTTTTTGTTTTTTTTTTTAAATACTGACAGCTAGTACGGGGAACGTCTCTCTGTACTTCTGTCACGGGGGAAGGGCAGTTGATATTAATCAACAAATACTTGCAATTTATGTCTTCCTAGAGTTCACCGTTAAGAGTGTGAATCTGATGCCCCTGGGTCCGTTTTTATTCTCTTTAAAAAATAAATAATGCTGTTTAATAATATACAATATATATTTCACATATACAGTATGCTTTACAAACGATTTAGCTTTCGCTAAGACTGCTACAATCCTGCATTGCAGCTTACAGTTGCTCACTCCTCCGGGAAACTGTTCCTACCACATGGCTCACATTTTAGTTTATTTTTTTCTTCAGTCAGCTGGCTGAATGGAAAAAACTGAACCGATTTCCCCATCCACACATTTGAGTTGCTGTGTTTTTGTGTATTCGGACAGCGGGACTCCTACGCTGTCACAGTACACTAATCGGTGCTGCAGGCAATTAGCTACATGTGCTGCTTAAGCAAAAATATACCAAGAAGCTATTCATTAACCACTTGCCCTCCTGAGGATTTACTCCCCCTTAATGACCAGGCCTCTTTTTGCTACTCGGTACTGCAATAATTCAATTGATAATTGCGCGGTCATGCAATGCTGCACCCAAACGAAATTTACGTCCTTTTTTTCACACAAATAGAGCTTTCTTTCAGTGGTATTTGATCACCTGTGCGCTTTTTATTTTTCACGCTATAAACAAAAAAAGACCAAAAATTTTGAAGAAAAACGATATTTTTTACTTTCAGCTATAAAAAAATATATAGTAAAATCAAAGTTAGTTATAAATCCCAATAAGTGTATATTGATTGCTTTGTGTGAAAGTTATAGCGTCTACAAACTATGGTATAGATACTGCACTACTGTGCAGTATCTATACCATACTGTGCTAGTTTGACAAACAATTGCGCGGTCATGCAATACGGTACATAAATGAAATTTACGTCCTCTTTTTTTCACACAAATGGCTTTCTTTCGGTGGTATTTGATCGCCTGTTTTTTATTTTTGCGCTATAAAAAAAAAAAGATTGACAATTTTGAGAAAAAACAATATTTTGACTTTTTGCTATAAAACATGTCCAGTAAAAAAAATTTAAAAATTTAAAAATCAAATTTCAGCCAAAATGCATTCTGCGACATGTCTTTGCTAAAAAGCACCGTATTTCTGCAGTGGCTGGGACATTTTGGCTGGATTGAAATATGTCCTTTTATTTCTGTTAAGTTGTAGATTTCCCCTTCCCCCATTGTACAGATGAAGCCATCTATCATGACATAGCTAACCTGAACTTTTCAGTGTATTTATCACAAGCGTGGTAGCATTGTAAAAAAGGGATTGTCCTATGTTTGAAAAACTTGTGGTGAAGTAATGTAGCTGTCTACTTTTAAATTCAAATTTTGATATCCTGTTTTACATTGGAAATCTCTATATATAAAATGTCGTGGACTGTTGGTTACTGCTCATAATACATGTATACATCCTCATTTAGATTTCATTTAAAGTGGAACTTCACTGCATCTAAACATCACAAACCAAAACTGTTGTTTAATTCATTTTTTAAATTTAAAGCAAACTCACCCATACATTCATTTCTCCATGTTTTATTTTGCTGAGAAATCACTTTGAACACCCCCCCCCCCCTCCACTAGCATTTGTAGTTGTGGCCATCTTGAGTAAGGGCAGATTATGTATGTAGCATTCACTTCCTGGAATCTATCTGCCTTTAGCTCAGGCATGAGGGTGTGCTTGGTTAAGAAAACCCCTCCTCCCCTCCCAAAGACTCCTGGGATGTATGACATCATTTGCCTAGGCATAGAAACAAAGTAACTAAAGAAATGTGAAAAAAAGTTTAAAATAAGTAAATATAATTTCTTATCTTTTTAGTAATGATAGCAGCATAAGGATTAAAAATAGTCAGTGTTGGCTGAGATTGTGAAGTTCCATTTTAACATATCTTTGGTTATTTTTAGGTTATATTCCACGAACCTGGTTTCAAGGCATCCTGAACTTACATCTGGATCAGTGAGTGATTCTGGGCTCGGTCTGAAAACTTCTTCATTATTTTATCTTTATGCCATTTTATATATTTTTTTTTTTTTTTATGTACACAGACAGTTACCACCACTTGATTCTCTGTTTGGCCTCCTGGATCTGTCATTATTTTACCAAATTTGGTTATGTGGTACTTTCCTGCTCGTCACCTGGCACATAGTCTGGTTACTATTCCAGATCCACACAACAGAAGTAGGTACCAGGACTGTCATCCTGTTTTCATTGGATAGATAGCAGAGATACAGTATGCCCTTATGACTCATTGTTACTGAGCCTAGTTTGGGCCTGAGGGTGTTTTAGCGACGATACTATGTGACTTTGGAAGTATATACCATACGTTGACTTGCATTGTTGTCAAATGATATTACTTCTGATGCTGTAACCCACCCAATGTATGTATCTTTACTTAAAGAATGTTTGCAAAAAATAAATATATAAATGACAGCTTTCTATACAATGTAATTTGTCGGTCCAGGCCCGAATGTTTCCTGTACAATCATCCTTTGTGGAAGATGCGGAAATGTGCCTTCCCAATGCCTTAGGCTGCAACTCTCCACTCTTGAAGGTAAATGATTTTGTCTATCAGTGTCAAAGCAGCTACTTTTTAGTGCAGTATTAGTGAAAGGTGCATATTTATGCAGCAGTGTAAAGAAGTATACAAGTTAGTGGTGCAATGAAATGAAAATTCTGAACCGAAACTGAAAATTCAGGATGCACTTGGCCAAAGAACAAAATGGACAGGTTTTTTTTTGTTTTTGTTTTTTTTTTTATATTTTTAAAGTATGAGTTTAATTAGTCTCTTGTTTTTCTTGCGGTGATTACTTTTGATACTGCTAGATCAAGTCAAGCATTTTGCTTATTCGCATCTTGGCTACAGAATTGTAATCATTGCATGATACTGTAGACCTCTGGGGTAAAAGTGTGTGTGTGTGTGTTACCTTTTAAAGCATTGGAAAGCAGTATAACCTAATTTTGATATTGGGATAAAGTATGTGAGGTTTCTGTTTTAGACTTGCAATGAATGCCTCCTTCTGTGCTGTTTCATTCCAGTACTTGGCCTTTCAGGATCTTGTGCTGCTTTCTCAGTATTCCAAAATTCGGAGACAGGATGTGTTCAGCCTCAGCCAACCAGGTAACTGTTGGTAAAGAAAACCGAGCTCATCCAACGGAAAGGAGGACTGAAATATAAGCATATATGTTATTTCTATGGCAGGAGGTCATCCACACAACTGGACCGCTATCACTAAGGAGTGCCTGAGTGTTTTAAGCAATCTTGCAGCTAGACTGGTGGCTCATCAAGAAGCTGCTGCAAGTAATGGGCATGTGAGGTTCCCATCTTCCTCAGCAGAGTTGAGGAAGTCATCCAGCAGCTCAGGTATGTCGTCTGTGTATGTGCAATGTAGTATATCATGTTTTGCTGTGCAGTAATACTAGTTGGGTGATCTAGTTTGAATACTGGGACTGGATATAATAAACTTCACATAGATCATGGAAAAATATATCTATACAATTTTGTGAAGATTTTAATCTTCTGTATCAAAATCCTGCAAAGTACTGGCGATTGCCCTGGGGTAGTCCCTGCTGTACCCACCCTTATTGTTCTGGTGTTCCACTGGTGGGATTGGAGGGGTAATTTCTCCTAGGGTAATCAGCACACTGGTAATTAGTGGCATAGTGCTGTTTTGGTTGACTTGGACCACTGTTCCCAGCAAGGGTCCTTTTTACAGTTTTCAGCAGGCCATGTCTACTCAACGGCAGAGAGTTGGGAATTTAGGGGGTTAGGGGCCTTCTTCATGTAAGTGTGGAACTGTATGAAGCCCACTAGCGGTCAGTGTTTTCCATGTTGATCTGACTCCATTCACCCATCCTGCATTTCCTTGACTTCTGTCAGCATGTTCTTCCAGTTGTGTCAAGGGAGATCCCCGAAAAACTGTGTGGCTTGAACTGCCTTGGTCGCAAGTGGAATAATACTTCATCCCTCTTGAAAGAAGAGGACAAGGTAGAGGGCTAAGAGCTTTCTCCGGTAGAAGTGGATGCAGAGGATCCTCTTTTGAGGAATCTACCTCTGGAGAACCTCAGGGCTTGGGTATTTTTCAGAACCAAAAGGTCTTTCTGAATTTTCTCATGAAAGTGGTCCAAACTAATTTAAAACTATTGCTTCCCGAGTCCTCTTCTCCTAATGTTACAGGTTTTGTATTGTCATCGTCCTTAGTCCTTCCTCCTGCAATCACTTATGTGTTTTGTACATGCTCACCCTGACTCACTTAGCAATACCCCATAGAAAGTGAGTTCTCTAAGAAATGGAGTATGCCTGTGGTGGATCTGGCAGTTTTATCATAATAGGACCCTTATGTGTCCATTGGATGAGGTCCCATTTTATTTAAAGCCACTCCAGACAAATGCCTTATTTAAAGTCTCATTTGCTCTGCTGGGGGCTGCTTTACAACCAGTAATTTCGGCTGTCAGGGCATGTCACATGAGAGAGAGAGAGATCCTGCTAATAGAGATACTGAATTGAGCAGGAACCTGGAAGATTTCCCACATGCTCTCAGCTTTTCTAATGAACGGCTCTATTCAATAACTCCTTGTTTTTCAGGAGTATTATCTGTACATATGCATAGGATCTTATGGCTGAAGTGTTGGTCAGCAAAGTTACCCTTCATGTGGAACATTTACCGTTTCAGGGAGAAACCTTTTGTTTGGTCCTGCTTTGCATAATTACATCAGAAAGTGATGGTTGGAAAGGGTACCCTGTCACCACTCAAATAGAAGTTAAAGCCTACAGTTCAGGAAGCTACTGTTCCATTAATTTCCAGGAAGCATTCTTGTTGCTAATCTCAGGCTCCAACCCCAAACGCCAGTCCCAGTTTTTTGTGCTGTATACTTTCCAATGTTTCTCTGAATCCACAAAAAAAAATAGCAATTTTGCAAGCCTCAATCATCTTGTAGTGATCGTTCCAGTTCCAAAGGGCGGAGAATTTGGTGGTTTCTACTTGAACCTCTTCATGGTCTTGGTCTCAAGAGACTTGTAAATTTTTCTATGAGTGCAGAGGTTCTGGATGGAAACAGCGCAGCCTGTGGTGGCCTCTTTCCAGCAGAAAGCTTTCCTGGCATCAGTGGATGTCAAAGACACATTTTGGTCTTTCCACCTCACCAAAGGCTTCTGCAGTTTGCGGTGGAGGACTGCCACTTTCAGTTTGTGGCCCTGTCAACAGCTCCCAGAGGGTTCACCAAGGTTCTGGCTCCAGCTCTGGGACTCCTGCGTAGCTAGAGTATCCCTGGTATAGGGTAGCTGGATAACTTCTGAGGTAGCGATCTGCTTCTCTACTGGAGACCACTGTCTCACATGGTGCACACTCTGAAGCATTTTGGATGGGTTCTGAATTTACAAGTCGGTGTTTATCCCAGTTGCGTCCCTTCTTACCTCTAGGTGGTTTCTATGTTTCATCTCAATCATTACTTTGTGTCACATTCCTTCTGTCTGAAGACTCGGTTGCCCAGCGGACAAGACTCTTCACAACTTGGGTGTGGTTGTAAAGTCAAACACTTACTTGAGTCCTCTATCATTCCAGTGCTGTGCCTACAGCTCTTCTCTCCCTTCTTCCTAGTCTCACAGGAAACTAAGGAAGAAGTGGATGCCATTGGCTCCTGCTGCTGTCAGTCAAATCTTGGGAGTAGGGGGGAGGTCCGATCCTCACTGTCTTCGTCTATGGACCAGCACAGCCACACATGGGCCTTTTTAGCCCATGGCTTGGTATGGGGCACACACAGGAGAGGAGGAGTAGACAGCGCCAGCGGGGGACTCCAGAAGACGAGGTGAGTGGCTGCTCTGTGCAATACCATTGCACAAAGCAGGTAAATAATAAACATTCACTTTTTATTATTTTACATTGCTTTGAAAAAATATTCATACCCCTTGAAGTTTTCCACATTTTGTCATGTTACAACCAAAATCGTAAATGTATTTTATTGGGATTTTATGTGATAGACCAACACAAAGTAGTACATAATTGTGAAGTGGAAAGAGAATGATAAAATGGTTTTCAACGTTTTTTACAAATATCTGAAAAGTGTGGCGTGCATTTGTATTCAGCCCCCTTTACTCTGATACCCTAACTAAAATCTAGTGGAACCAATTGCCTTCAGAAGTCACTTTAATTAGTAAAGTCCTCCTGTGTGTAATTTAATCTCAATATAAATACGGTTGTTCTGTGAAGCCGTCAGTGGTTTGTTAGAGAACATAAGTGAACAAACAGCAACATGAAGGCCAAGGAACACACCAGACAGGTCAGGGATAAAGTTGTGGAGAAGTTTAAAGCGGGGTTAGGTTATAAAAAAAAAAAAAAAAAAAAAGTCCCAAGCTTTGAACATCTCATGGAGCACTGTTCAATCCATCATTCAAAAATGGAAAGAGTATGACACAACTGCAAACCTACCAAGACATGTCTATCCACCTAAACTGACAGGCCAGGCAAGGAAAGCATTAATCAGAGAAGCAGTCAGGAGGCCCATGGTAACTCTGGAGGACCTGCAGGATGCACAGCTCAGGTGGGAGAATGTGTCCACAGGACAACTGTTAATCGTACACGCCACAAATCCGGCCTTTATGGAAGAGTGGCAAGAAGAAAGCCATTGTTGAAAGAAAGCCATAAGAAGTCCCATTTGTAGTTTACAAGAAGCCATGTGGGGGACACAGCAAACGTGGAAGAAGGTGCTCTGTTCATCAAAATGCTATGCGTGGCGGAAAACTAACACTGCACATCACCCTGAATACACCATCCTGTGAAACATAGTGTTGACGACATCATGTTGTGGGGATGCATTTCTTCAGCAGGGTCAGGGAATATGGTCAGAGTTGATGGAAAGATGGATGGAGCCAAATACAGGGCAATCTTAGAAGAAAACCTGTTAGAGTCTGCAAAAACCTTGAGACTGTGGCGGAGGTTCACCTTCCAGCAAGACAACGACCCGAAACATACAGCCAGAGCTACAATGGAATGGTTTAGATCAAAGTATATTCATGTATTAGAGTGGTCCAGTCAAAGTCCAGACCTAAATCCAATTAAGAATCTTTGGCAAGACTTGAAAATTGCTGTTCACAGATGCTCTCCAATCAATCTGACAGAGCTTGAGCTATTTTGCAAAGAATGGGCAAGAATGTCCCTCTCTAGATGTGCAAAGCTGGTAGAGACATCCCCAAAAAGACTTGCAGCTGTAATTGTACCAAATGTGGTTCTACAAAGTATTGACTCCGGGGGGCTAAATACAAATGCACACCTCACTCTTTACATATTTATTTGTAAAAAAATTTTGAAAACCATTTATCATTTTCCTTCCACTTCACAATTATGTGCCACTTTGTGTTGGTCTATCACAAAAAATCCCAATAAAATACATTTTACGGTTTTTGGTTGTAACGTGACAAATGTGGAAAATTTCAAGGGGCAGGGATACTTTTTCAAGGCACTGTATATTGATAAGATTGATGGTTCAACTGCTTAAGAAAATTTAATGTGTAGCAAAATGACCCAAATCTTTTATAGTTTTAATTGCCTTCATCATCTTTTGACTGTCATTCTGCAGGCACTTCATTAAATGAATCTATTGACCAGGCTGGGAAAATTGCTCCTGTCGCTCAAACACCGATCTCTTCTGTACTGAAGACCAAAGCTTCACTCAAAAGACCTTGGGACTCTGGTAGTCCCTTTGCCTCCCCAGTGGTAGGTCATATTTCCACTGCCCAGGACCAGAATTCTCCATGGCATGGTTTCCGTGCAGAGCCCCCACATTATTAGGAGAGGTGCAAAGCTTTGGACGTGTGGTGCAGGTGAATGTCAATCGTTTGTTAATTGTGTATATTTTGTTTTCTACCTGAAGCATTTACAAAGAAATCTAAAGCTTTGATTTTCAATGATATGTAAATGTTCCATCCCGTCACATGGAGGAAGGGAAGTGGGAAATGTGTGTTCTTCCATTTTTGGAAGTATCTGGTATTTCTCTGTGTCCAGTAACAAAACAGTGCTCAATGGGGATGTAGAAAAGCTATGGGAAGCTGAGGCAGAAGGAACTAAAAGTGGAACGCTGGGGGAAAAAAAAAAATTTTTTAGAAGTTAAATTGGGCCAGTTTTAGTTTCCCGAGTGATTGGTATCTAATGTCGAGGGCTGCTGGGGATTCTAAATCGCAGTTGTGTTATGTACCAGATAACCGGATGAATTTTGATTTTCTGGTCACTGCTGCTTCAACTTGCTTGCTTAGTAACCTTGTCCACATATAAAAGGTCTTGTATGCATTTTAAGAGCATTCTGTGATTGGACAAGGTTTAGGGAAGACACAGATGAGTCATCATTTACACTCGTCCTCTTTCAGAACCTCCAGTTCTTTGATTCCACCATGGCTCTGTTGAATTTAGTTGGGTCCTCTATCCTCTTGGCTGCTGCGATGTGCATCATCGCCCTGAAGCTAGAGGATCAGTCTGTTGGGTCTACTAGTAGCCTTGACCCCTAAAGCAGTAAAGTGTTTTCTGTTGCATTTACTTTTCCAAAGTGCCCTAATAGGTTGGTCCTTTGCTCTTTCTCCATTTAATGCTGATTTTGTTGAAAAATGGACAATTCTCTCCATGGATCAGGCTGTATTTCACATTAACAAGGCAGCTACTATTATCTGTGCACATCAAAATTATTTCTTGTTTGTGACATGCAATTACATAGTACCAATGTGGTACACTGCAGTGAACTGAAGAGTTCAATTTGGTGCACAAATATGGGGCTAACAGTGGCAAAGGAAAAAATGTCCCTAGGTTGTTGATGTCGCTGAAATGGATTGAAAAAATGTCCATGTGTCAGTGGTGTCACTGAAAGGAAAAATGTTCCTCAGTCAGTGGTGTCACTGAAAAGAAAAATGACCCTGTTTGGTGAAAAAAAAAAATACCAACCCCACCAGTACAGAGCTCTTCTACCCATCCCCAGCTACTTACCAGTCTTCGGTCCGGAATCCATAGCTACCAGGAGGCTGGGCTGTTAGTACTGTGTCTGAGGGAAAGCATCTTGTCACTTTCAAACACAGAAGCCTGCACAGAAAGTTGTCTTCTGTTTTGTTGAGCAAGTGACAACCGTATGCTGTGCTCTAGAGGAAAGAATAAGCTCTGCTGACAGGAGTGACACTGCAGTAGAAGAGAGCTGCTGGAGCTCTGTGTCCTTGCCTCTTCATAGAGATGCTGCACCCAGGTCGCGTGCCTCTTTGCTCCCCTCTCCTGGCTCTGCTGGTGAAAACCAGGGATTCCCTCACTTTTGGAGGGCTTTCCTCTCACTTCCTTTTTGGCTAAGGGACTGGAAGCGAAGGAAATCTGTCACCAGTGGACACAGATGGCAAGAAAAAAAACTGACGGGTTACAACTCTCTCTTGTTCTATCCAAAATGAAGGCCTGGGGGGGGGGGGGGGGCGATTTTTGCCTTTAATTCTACTTTAAAGTAGAACTATAGGCAAAACTTTTTTTTATTATTTGTATAAACTTTGGATAGAGCAAGAGAGGGTTATAACTGCTGTCAGATTTTTTTTTTTTTTTTTTTCACCTTCTGTGTCCCATTTCAGAGATTTCCTTTCACTTCCTGTCCCATAGACAAACAGGAAGTGAGAGGAAATCTTGGCAAATTAAGGGAATCCCTTGGGGACACCCAAGTCACCAGTACTAGTGTCCCTATTGGAAGATTTCCCCTCTTACTTTTTTTTTTGGGGGACAACCCAAAATTTGTGATTTTCCTTATTCTTCACTTTAAATAATAATGGTAAACAGGACAAGTAGAGAGGGGGGGAATCTCTTTAACAAGGGCACAGACAGTAATAAAAATTGATGGGTTCAAACCCCTTTCCGCTCTATCAAAAAAAAAAAAAGCCTTTTGGTTATATTTTAATCACTTGCCGACCGACCGCCCACAGTAATTTTACCATAGTTTGTAGACACTAACTTTTTACATAAACCAATCAATTTGCACTTATCGGGATTCCTGAGAAACAAAATGTATTTTTTATATATATATATATATATATATATATATATATTTATATTTTATATTTATATATTTTATAGCAGAAATTAAAAGCTATTTTTTTTTTTTTTGTTTTTTTTCTTTGTTTTGTTTGTCATTTTTCATTCTATAGAATAAAAAAAAAATGAAGTGATGATCAAATACTGCCAAAAGAAAGCTCTTTGTGTGAAAAAAATATATATAAATTTAATTTGGGTATAGCGTTGCATGACCGCACAATTACCACTTAAATTAGCACAGTGCTTAATGGCAACAAATGGCCTGGTCCTGAAGGGGGTGAAACCTTGCAGAGCTCAAGTAGTTAAGGCTTCCTGGGGTTGAGTTT